GGCTGAAGTGTTTCTTTCTTCATATTAAATGATCCAGACATTTCTAATTAAAAAAAATAATAATAATGGTTCTGTCTTCTGGAGGCTGCCTGTCACTATTTACTACTGTCAGCATTTCTATCTCTTACAGATTTTCTTTTTCTAAATACTCTCCTTTTTCTTGCTAAAAATATCTTTTTCCATTAAAATCCCCCCTTTCAAGGTCTAGAAATTTGTATAACTTATGTAGCAACTGTCAAAATAATATGCTAAGGTAAAAAGGGTAGATGGTGAGGGGTTATCTTTGGGTCAATGAGCTGAGTACAGTGGGTTTTACTACAGACTTTGTGTTGATTTCTTGGAAGCTGTTTTTCACGATGCAAATTCCTCTCTATGCTCTAAGCTAGCCATGTTGCACATGAAAAGTGACTCTAGTGGGGAGTATGTTCCAATCATTGTCAAGGTGAACACGGGCAAATCGCAACTTCTCTGGGTCTCAGTTTCCTCATCTGTCACATAAGAAGGCTGGAGAGATGGTCCTTGGGGTACCTTCGTGTTGTCACATGCCAAACAAGTAGTTCCGGGGAGAAGAGTCCAAAAGCTGTAAGACAAGAGTGCCCGAGGATGGGTGATCACTTTGGATTGAGAACGTCCTGGGAATCTTCCCAGAGCAGGAGGGTCGGATTTAGAAGGGGTGGAAAGGTAGACAGATCACTGAGCTGTGTGTCTTTGAGAAAGTGTGAGACCTTTTCAGAGGACAGCAGTTATTGTGGTGAAATACATATCACATAAAATGTACACGTTTGAAGTGTACAGTTTAGCAGACTAAGTACATTTACATTGTTGTGCAACCATCACCACCATCTGTCCTTTGAACATTTTCCTCCCCTCCAAAGAAAAACTCTGTATTTGTTAAAACATGCCCTGTCAACCCTCCCCCAGCCCTTGGTAACCTCTCTTCTACTGTCTCTATGAAGTCAATTACTCCAGATTTCTCATATCAGTGGAATCATACAGTATTTGTTATTTTGTGACTTGCTTATTTCACTTGGCATAATGTCCCCAAGGTTTATCCAGGTTATAGCATGGGCCAGAATTTTTTCTTTGTAAGGTAGAATGATATTCCGTTGTACGTCTAGACCACATTTGTTTACTCATCCATCTCTTGATAGAGATGTGGGTTGTTTGTGTCTTCCAGCTGTTGTGAATGATGCTCTTATGAACATGAGTGCACAAGTAACTATTTAGGCCCTTGGATTTAATTCTCTTGGGAACTACCCAGAAATATATAATGGAATCGGTGGATCATCTGGTAATTCTACGTTTAACTTTTTGAGCAAGTGCTGAACTGTTTCCCACAATGGCTACTTTGAGCTGCTGGAAAAGCAGGATCTGAGTGTTACTGGGGACAGGTGAAAGGCCAAAGAACCCATGTGTGGGATGGATCAGGCCCTGGAGAGTTGGTCCCTTTCTTGTCCCCAACTGTCACGATTTCCAAGATGATAAGTTGAAGACAGGGCACAGAGATGGGCCTGTGTCTGGTTAGCTCCTGGCCTACTGAAGGAATAGACATTTGGAGGAACAGACTACAGAGCTGTGTCTGGAATACATGGAGGTGCCTCTGCCTAGTTGGTGGCCCTAGAGCTGACCCTGGAGTAGAATAAGATGAGCGTTGGGATGTTGTCAGAGGGAGCCATCCCTCCAAACTCGAAGTACGCTTAGCACTGGTGGAGGGAAGGAAAGAAAAGGAGTATGCCAGGTGGAGGGTCTAAAGGAAGATCTAAGCTCACTCCAGAGTTCTGATTTTGGTCTTTAATTTGTATAGTGCCTAAAACGATACTGTTCTATAAAACATCACAAAGAAGGTGTTACTGAGGCTGCTTCGCTCTGCGTTTGCCTTCCGCCCCTTCTCTCTCAGTTGCTTTGTGTTGCCACCACTGAAGAGTTCCAGGAGCCAGAAGGATTCCTTTGGGCGACATTAAAGGAAGACAAACCGAGCGAGCTTTCTCTGTGTGGGGATGGAGTATGGGCATGGCGGGGGAATGGCTGGGTGTGGGTCTTGGTGGACGTTAGGTTGCAAGAGAGTTTTACATACTATATTTAAAATAGATGAAATTAAGGAATCTAAAATCAGATTCATAAGACAATTAAAGTAATTAGGCACAATATGGGAAAACATGCTCAAAAGTTGATGGAATGGCTGTTTCAAGGCACAGGATGTGGAAGACAGTGAGAAAGCAGCTTAAATTGTAGCGTGCCAGGTGAGCCTGGATACTGTGACCTTCCTGATGGGCACAGGAACCGCTGACCACGGCTGGAGGTCTCTGTCACACTGAGCTGATGAGGCAGGTGCCCCCGAGACAGCTAGTGTCATATAGTTATAGAATCATTATGAATAAGAATTATCACATCCTCTGGGTTCTTTGGGAATAGATGTCTGTCTCTTGAGACAGGTTTGGGTGTATCGCTACCCATATTTTCAACTCTGGATTTAGATTTTTAAAAGTTAATGATTCTTATCCTGCCTCTAAGAAGGAAAATGACTCAGTTGAAAAAAAAAAAACCCACCCCCTGGCCCACGTACATTTTTATCTGCACGTTCAACTGGCAGCTGTCACTTCCATGTTTGCTGCTGTGTAGAGAAGTGACACTGCCGACACAGAAACTCGGTGAGACTTTGCAGACACCCCCAGGGGCAGGCTTGTTTCAGTCGTGCTGCTCATGCCCCGTGTGGCCGAATGGGGCTCCTTTCTGACTCAGCCCAACGGCATTTGGCCCCTGGGAGTTGGTGGTTCACCTAGTTTACTCTAGACGACGTCAGGGGTGGAGAAAGAGCCTGTTTCCACTGTGGGTCCTACTTGCCTGAGAGAATTAACACACTTTGAAGGGAACCACTTAACGTTTCAAAGAAGTCCTTTGAGCTTCCTAAGAAACGAGCTGTCTTTCTTCCGTGACTGGTCCCCGCAGGGACTCTGAATCCTTTTCCAACATGAGTTGAGCAAAACTCTTTCAGGTTCTCTGAAGGGCAGTTGAGCAGGGAGCCCTGTCACTCAAGGGATCAGAGAAGGCTTCTGAAGAGAACTTAGTCCTTGTAACTCTGTGCTTGGGTCCTTATACCACCCGTGCTCACTCCCCGTGGGTTGCGTGATTTGGATGCTCAGGCAGGCCCAGGGGACCACAGAGAGAGGGGAGACAACCTAGAAAATTCCCGGCACCAGACTCCACTCGATGGCACCCCGAGGAGAGAGATCCAAACTTTGAACAGGATCAAAGAGGCTGTAAAACCGGTGCTGTAAGATGTGAAGCTCCCTACAAGGCAGAGAACAGAGAAGAGAACTTGGCAATGTTTGTAAAGAAAAGACTCGTAGTTCCCACGAAAGACAAGGGAGAGCGAGGAAGAAAAAGAGAAGTGTGGTTTGAGAGAGATCTTGAGAAACTCTAACTGACCAAAGGTAGATGTTTTTCCCCTGGAGATTTTTATTGCTACTCAGAGACTGGGAGGGACATGCTCAGCTAAGGTAGGGGTTAAGAGGAACGAGACGTGGGATAGAAAACATGGTACAGTGGGGTACGTTCCAAGACCCCCCGTGGATAGCACCGATGCTATGTCATACATACCGATGCTAAAGTTTGATTCATAAATTAGGCACAGTAAGAGATTAACAATAACTAATACTAAAATAGAACAATTACTATGCTGTAATAAGTTATGTGAATACAGTGTCTGTCTCACACTCTCAATATCTTAGCCTCTACCTCAGGTATCTGACACCATGGAAAGCAAAATCATGGGTAAAGGGAGATTATTGCATAAATCAGAGAGAAAAGCTTTTCTGGCGATTCTTGAATTTTATCATTGTTGGCATTTTCTGCTCCTGACTCTAGAGAGAACGCCCCTAATACCTGTGATGTTGGGAAGGAAAGAGATCTTGGGCATTGGGGTCATCGTTTGCTCATTAGTAGGGAAACACTGTCATCTAGGCCCTGGGCAGGGGGACTCAGCCTCAGAGTGCAGCCAAGATGCTGAGGTCACATCTTCAGCCTGACCAGTGTCACTCTTACGGAGTTGCAGGACCAGTGAGCTAGGGTGGAGCCCAGTTTGGAGGGTACGTAAGTAGGCGGCTCTTTTGCTTCTGCACCTCTTCTGAAAGGAGGGTTATGATGACAGCGAACGTTTATTGAGGGTTTGCTATGTGCCATGTACTGTTGTCACCTCTTTACATCTAGTCACCTGTTTACTCCTCAGAGTGATCTATGGGGAAGACAAGGTGCAGAAAGGTTGAGTAACACCCCAAAGTAAACCGGTGGGGCCGGGAGTTGAGCCCAGGCAGTCTGGCTTGGGCGTGTGTGCTCTGTTTACAGATAGGAAGGAAGATAGGAAACTAAGTATGATGTGTGCCCACATAAAAACACTGGGAACTCTGTGTGTTGTCCGTTTTAATGCTTTTAGAAGCTTCCAGAAGGCCCCACAACCCACGTGACCAGCCCTGAGCCACTCCCAAGGTCCCCAAATAGATCACTACCATCCATCTGCAATGGCCACGATTAATCATAATTTCTAAGGGATCATTTTAACACATACTTTTAAAATTAAATATAATGAGGCTGATAGTTTTCTAATCATGATGCAGAAAATTTGGATAATAGCACTTAAAGGAAAAAAAAAACACATCATCCTACTCCTCATCATAGTCTTATTTTGGCATATTTCCTAACAGTCCTTTTTTTAAATGCCTCTGTATACTATAAATAGAGTTTTGTATCCACCATTACCAGCTTTTTCCCATGTCTTTATGAAGTCTTGGTAACTGTGATCTTTAAATTGATATTTTTTATTTCTCTTTTTATTTCTCTTAGTAGTTTTCATTGGGAGCGTTTTGAGTTTTCTAGTAATTGTTAGATGTAGAGAATGAATCTTATTTTTTTTTTTCAGAGGCATTTAGGGCTAGATCTCGGTTAGAAAACACTCAGCGGCCAAGGTTAATTTTTATGACTGTCACCTCTTGTTTTTCTCTTAACAGGGATCTACCGAACAGAAAGGGATAAAGGCACTTTGTATGAGCTCACCTTCAAAGGGGACCACAAACACGAATTCAAACGACTCGTCTTGTTTCGACCGTTTGGCCCTATCCTGAAAGTGAAAAAAGAAAAACTCAACATGGCCAACACACTTATCAACGTGATCGTGCCACTAGCGAAAAGGGTGGACAAGTTCCGGCAGTTCATGCAGAATTTCAGGTCGGTTTGTTTGCACATGTTTATCTTCCTCCGTGCACTGCGTGTTCGAGCTCTGATATCATTTTCTATGATTTCCCTCATTTCCCCTTCCAAGTGCAAAGGCCCCTTTCTCTTGCTGTTCAACCCTGTTTTCTTCATATAAAGTTGAGCATTTGTGTTTGCCTTTCCCTAACGCAATTAGAAAACTCCCAGATAAGCATATTTACCTTCAAGAGTGAAAAATAGGAAGGACTGGGTTCCCATCAGGATCTGCAAAGATGACCTAATGCCTTTGTGTTCAGTTCTGATCTGGATGCGAACTCAGGTTTGGTTTGGGCTCAGGTTTGGGGACAGCAGGAACTGAGACTCTCCCAGGCAAGCAAGTGACCAAGTGACAATGTTCTAAGTCTTGAGAAGCAGGGAGGAGATTGCTAGTGACAGAACCCAAGATGACAGTGGATATGGGCTGGCAGGTGTCTTCAAACTACGGCCCGTGGGCCACATGCTGCCCGCCTAGGACATTTATCCGGCCCACCGGGTGTTTTTGCCACCGCTGCCTGTCCTGCTTAGCTGCCGACTCGTCCCGGGCCCACAGTGCGCACTCTCCGGCAGTCTGAGAGACAGTGAACTGGCCCCCTTGTTTAAAGAGTTTGAGGACCCCTGTGCTAGAGGATTCTCTTGCTCAGCTCTGGATTGAATCAGAATTTATATTCTATTGCCACCAACATTGCTTGAGAGCTTAAATTTAGGGTTATGAGAAGAAGGTTTCAAGCACTCAGTAAGCCTAAGTAGGGTTTTATTTTCAGATACACTAATGTACTTTTCACATATGTGTCTTTAAGCCTTTTATTGTGCAATATTGGATTTGATAAGCTATGATAGCTAACATTCTCATATTAGCCAAGGTTAACCAGCTAACTTATTTAACCAGCTCATTTTAAAGATAGAAAATCAAATTATCTAATCATAAATCTTGGAAGATCAAGCTGCTTTTAATCTTATTAAAGTCACATTATTAAAAGGCAGTAGTGGGCAGCGTTAAAGGTATGGTTGATACCTCTCAAAATTCTGGTTCATGAACACATTTCTTTTTTTTAATTTAAAGGATAACTCACTTATAATTAAGATTTTTTAAGATCAGAAGCCAGTAGTTAGTCCCAGAAGAATCCTTGGAGGTCGTCTGGTCTAATCTTCTCTTAATTCCGACTTCCTCTGTAGCATCCCTGATATAGGGTTCTGTGCGTGTGTGTGTACCAGCCTCCTTCACGAGGCAGGCTGCTGCTTTGTTGACCAGTTCTAAGTAAAAAAGTGTTTATTAGGCCGGGCGCGGTGGCTCACGCCTGTAATCCTAGCTCTTGGGAGGCCGAGGCGGGCGATTGCTCAAGGTCAGGAGTTCAAAACCAGCCTGAGCAAGAGCGAGACCCCGTTCTACTATAAATAGAGAAAATTAATTGGCCAATTGATATATATATAAAAAAATTAGCCGGGCATGGTGGCTCATGCCTGTAGTCCAGCTACTCGGAGGCTGAGGCAGAAGGATCGTAAGCCCAGGAGTTTGAGGTTGCTGTGAGCTAGGCTGACGCCACGGCACTCACTCTAGCCTGGACAACAGAGCGAGACTCTGTCAAAAAAATAAAATAAAATAAAATAAAAAGTGTTTTATTGTTGGGACCTGAAGTCAGCCTCCCTCCTCACTTCTACCCAGTGGGTCTAGTTCTAGCCTCTGGAGAAATGACTGAACAAATCCATTTCCTCTTACAACACGATAAGCTTCCAAGTATTTGAAGACAGCTATCACAACGTCCCTTGTCTTTTTTTTTTTTTTCTCCAGGGACAGCAGCTCTCACTTCCCCTAGCTTTTTTCATATTCCCCAGTTCTCAAACTCTTTCTTTTTTTATTAGCTGGACTTGTGCCTTTAGCCATGACATAATGGCGAGACAGGGTAGGCTGATCTGTTCCCAGTGTGTAGAATGCCACTTTGCACACAATCATTTAACCGTTCCCCCTGGCTCCAGTACTGAAGTGAGTGTTTATGTAGTTTTTGCTTTTATCAACCTACCTTTGGTGTTTCTGTGTTCTCTCTCTCTCTCTCTCTATATATATATATATATATGTATATCTTCTCTTTGGAATGGCAAGTTGCCATTGGTTGATCAAACATTACTTCCTGAGAACAACTGAACCTGTAGTTGTAGCAAGGCATTACTCTCAGTAGCTGGTATGCCCATATCTAGACTAGGTTACAGCAAGTCCTCTGGCTAGGAAGCTGCCTACAGCTTAGACAGATTAAAAGTCCTGAGCTTCGATTCTGCCCATAGGACAGTCATTGGCACATTGGGTTGATAAGGCACTGCTTACGCAAAGAAATGTCTGCTTAGTAAAGGGCCAAGCTTTGGATAGAGTCAGGGGCCTGAAAAACTAAGATTCTCTTGGGTATCTATGGACAACTGCTTCCTTTAGTGTCCCTTCATGAGAATTTCAAGTAATTAACAATAGGAATAAAACAGAAAGGAAGTATGGTGAGAATCATAAAATTAGTAGCTTACAAGGCTCTAAAATGGAGATGGTAAAACGAAATGCAATTCTAGTTAGCATTTAAAACAATAAAACACAATAACCTTAGGGCATTTCTTCCTTGGCTTTTACACTTCATACATCCATTGCCATGTAGGTAGGAGGGGGTAGGTTGTTCCTTGGAGAGGATCTTTTGAGGCACGTGCTGGACACATTACCCAGATCACAAGGATAAGAAGATGAATTTGAGGTGTGGTATCTACCTTCATGGAATGTATTAATAGAATCTGAAAATATGGAGCAGCAGGTGCTACATGGGAATTGTAGACACAAGACAGGGGACGCTCCCAGAAGATGACATTTGAGCAGAAAGTGGGGTGGGGATTTACTCCATAATCAAAGAGTTTCTGAGGCATGTTAAGGTCCTAAACAATGGGATGTGAGAGGGCAAAACCGAGAGTATTTAATTCTACATAAGAACTTAGTACAAGGTGGCATTTCACAGATCACCAAGAAGGGGTTATTCAGGGTGGGTTAGGACAACCTAGCAAAGCATTGCAGGAAGTTAATTCTTTTCAACAAAACCAAAGTAAACTCTCAATTAAATGCTAATGCATATTCAACCACAAAACAAGGGGAAACGATAAGGGGCTACTTATTAAATATTGTTTTATGATTGGAACTATTATCTGTGATTGACCTGAAGATGACGTATGTTTTAATTTCTTTTTCCTTGTTTGTGAATTGTATGTGGTGGCCACATATTACATTTTATTAAAGACTTGGTGAAAGTGTTTGGGCTTTATAATTTAAACATGACTTTCATGTTTAAGAGTGATTCATGCTAAAGATGTTTAAGCAATAATAATATACAAGGAAATTATTTTAAAGTCCCTTCAGCCCTGCCTCCCAGAACTAACCATTATTAACATTAGTCGAATAACCATTCCAAGTTACCTATCTTTGCATGTATGCAGAAAAGAAGAATATCATCCTAGCTGGAATAATTTATGCAACGTGAGATATACCATAACATCTATTCCTAATTAAAGAATTAAAATTTCTTAGATTTATAAGAGAACTGAAGTGTAA